CAGATGGATTAACAGTAATTACATTGAACCTTATGGGGAAATTTGCTTCGGGTTGCGACCAATTCGGGGTGCGACCAGAGTCATGGAACGAATTAAGTTTGTAACCCGAGGTTCCACTGTAACTTATTTAATAATTTCAAATTGTTATAGATCCCTACGGACTCCCTCAACCTGTCACACTCAGAATTGCCACATCATTTGTTTTTGTTTTTGGTCCCTTCAAGTCAGTCTCCACTCCTGGCAACTGCCTGGACAAGTCGCTGCAGTTTTCTTGGCAAGATTTTGGAATTGGTTTGCCATTACCTGCTTCTAGGGCTGAGAGAAAGAGTGAGTAGCTCAAGTCACTCAATTGGCTTTGTGCCTAAGGCAGGACTAGAGTTCATGGTCTCACAGTCTCTAGCCTGGTGCCTTGACCTCTACACCAAACTGGCTCTCTTATTTTAAAATTGTGGGAAAGCTGGTTGAAGACCTTTTAGACATATCTATTAAGAAGGAAAAATTTGATAACAAAAAATGCAATCTGAAAAAATTGACAGACTTTTCTAGAATTTTTCCTTACTGAAGCATTTGGAACACGTTTTGCCACTGTTTTATTTCTCTTTGTTCCTCTAATCTAATATTTCATAATGTTAAGTTCTTTTCACCCTTGCAATTTTTTGGACGGTGGTGGCTGGGCCAGAGAATTCAGATAAGGAAAATAAGGGAGGTTTGATAAGACCAGGGGAGAAAGGGCTTGTTTACAGTTCTTTTTCCTCTTTTCTAGGTTGAAGCCAACATTGCATGAATGACTTGTTCCCTTCCAATTTGCTTCAGAAGGCAGCCATCCCACTGCAAGGAGATTTAGGATGTTACCACATGTTTTTCAATCCTGTCAACCAATCCATCCACTCCTAAACAAGTGGAATTAGGAAGCAGAAATTCTAGTTTGCATTCAGAACTGAATCTCACAAATTACCTTTTCTATTATTATTTTCATGAGTGAATACCAACTACTTTCACTTTGGAACTAGAAACATACCCCATAACTTACAACATGCTCATAATATGCTTTTGTAGATGTTTCCAACTGCAAGGGACATCAGTAGAATTTAATATACCTATAATTGTTCCCTTTGTCATATGACTTTATTGGATTTAAGCTATAGTCCTAACTTACACTCTCTGAATATGAGCTCTTTTCAAAAGTTTTTCTCTGACGTGTTCAAACAAAGCATGAGAGGAAGTGGAACTTGTTCAGTTTCTAGTTTCATCTCCAATGTCCTTGTCTTCTCTACCCACACCTGCCTTTGAAGGGAGAATCTTCATATACTCAGCTGAACTCATAAAAAAATCCCCTTTTGGATTTTTGTTCTCAAAGACTAAAAGTCAGAAGTGGTGCAAGTAGGGATCAAAACACTGACCTTGCTGAGAGAAAAAGGAGCATTTCACGTTACTAATTTAGAATGCCATCCTGTGATGATATAACATGAATGAAGATAGGCTTTAAATCAGCACAGAAATGGTTGTAATTCACCAGGGTAGAAGTCTTCGATGCCTGAAAGAGACTCTGCTAGACTTTCTATTAGATATACTGAACAGGTTTGCACTGAATCTCTCTCGGTTTATAATCCGAGATGGGCAATCTGTGGTCCTAAAATACCACACAAATCCTTAGGATAATTTCAAAATGCCCGGGCAGGAAATAAGTCCAGACCTCTGTAGCCAACAGTGTATGGCAGAGAAAGAAAATGGCAAGAAACAAAGGAGATATTAATAAGAGAGAAAGACTATTTTATTATATTTATTAAAATGTATACAATAATAATTTTCTCAAATCATCAAGGTTTTGTGAGACTCACATTTCTGTTGCAACAGACTAATAAAGTATCTCTCTGAAAAGTAGTTTTCAGGCAACTTTGAAGTACAACAGACTATTTATAAATGAGTTCCATCAAGATCAACAGGGATTACTTACACAGGTATGAGGGTAACTAAAAGAAACTAAAATTAAGACCTGTGTCAAGCAACTGGCATACAGTATGTCCAAAAAGAGATTCGTTTTACACAGAATATAAATATTTGAATATTTGAAACCCCGTAAAGCAGGGTTTCCCCAGTTTCTATCTATGCACGGTAAGCAGCCTTTACAATGTACCAAAGGCATTGCTTTTATGACTATCTAGAGTCAATCATATTTTGCTTTGAAGCCATTTCAGTTTGTTGCACAAAAACCTATCTGGAAAACAGACAAAGTGGTAATTCCACAAGGAGTACTTCTTTTAGCTCAGACACCTCCAAGTGGGTGCCCTTCAATTTCCCCCTCAATGACCTCCAGTTCACTGCTGATATGATGGGAAAGTTCTAATTTAGGGGAGGCCGTTCTAAACATTGCTTAACTCCCCAAGATTTTTATATGCCAGACTGAAGTTTTTAAATTTAAAGAAAGCTTGCCTTTATGGATTTCTGGGAACAGTGTAATCATTACATTCTCATAATAAAATAATTGGTGTTAAGCATAGACTTCAGTAGGAAAACACAAATATGTAGTTCTTAGAAAACACCCACTATACAGTAGATGCACTAAAAGCCACCAAAGATTTCTTGTTTCAACCAAGTTTTTGTTTGCTTTAAAGCAGTATTAAAGAGGCTCATTTGGCTACAAAAACTTTTTTACAATTATGAAGGAAGTTTAAAACTCCTTAAACGATGCAAGCATGGACTCTGTACTACAGGGGCGGGGGGGGGGGGGAGGTAATACCATGAAAAGAAAATCAAATAATATAATAAAGAATAGTGTTGACTTGGAAACAGCGGCAATGCATGTGGAAAGCTTTTTCAGCAGCAGAGTAGGGAAAGAGCAATACTGTTTCAAGGCACTTGAGGGAAAGTTTGGTCAATAACAATGAACCCAGCATATCTTAAATTCAAACTTTCACAGTGAACTTATTTAGCGGGCTTTCAGCATTCAAAACACTTTACAGACTTAGGCAACTCGGGTAATCCTATAAAGTCGTTCAAAGTTATTATTACTGTCAGATGACAGACGGGGGAAAGGTGGGGCTCAGAAGTTAAGGGTCGCACGCAATCTGCAGCCGGAATTGCCAGCCCAGGATCTTCACCGCTCTCGAATTAGTCCCTGGGACCTTCTCAAAGGCAGCTGGCCGAAAAGGCGGAGAACTGGTCGAGCTGCGGGTCCAACACGCAAGGTGCAAAATCGAGGGAGGGAAGGTAGCAACCTAACATTCAAAAAGATAGAATTAGCGCGGGACAGAGTGAGAGCCAGTTTGGCGCAGTGGTTAAAGCACCAGGAGACCCGGAGTTCTAGCCCTGCCTTAGGCACGAAGCCAGCTGGGTGACCTTGGGCCACAAACTCTCTCTCAACCCTAGGAAGCAGGCAAGGGCAAACCGCTTCTGAAAAACCTTGCCAAGAAAACTGCAGGGACTTGTCCAGGCAGCCACGAGAAATCAACACTGACTTAAAGGCACCAGAAAAAGAAGAAGAAGAAAAAAGAAGTGCCAAGAGTAGAGAAACGGGCATTACCATGCCAGAGAAGGGCGAAGCGAAAGAGTCTGTCAGAAAGACATCCCACATTGCCAGGAGCGCAGAAAATGCCCACCGCCCAATCTTGAGCAGCCGTCCCCGCGTCCTTCCAAGAACCCCGTTCCCCGACCTGCCGGGCTCTTGGCAACCAGTGTTGGCCAAGCCCAAGCAGCCACCAGTTTACCTCGTCCTAGGAGCACTTTAGCAGGAACGGGACCAGCGACCAGTCCCAGTTCTCACTCGCCCGCCCCAGAAGGCGCCCTGCGTTCACTTCGCAGGGAGAGAGCGGCGGCTGTTCTCCAGCCCCGAGCAGAAGGCTTACCTTGCGGAGCGCTGGCCTCGCGCGTCGAAGTGGGACGGGGTGGGACTCCCCAGCCTGCCTGCTTCGGCGCGCGGCTGCCTCCGCCCCGCCTCCCCAACATCCCAAACTTCCCCCCGGCGGGGGCGCCGCCGCCCCTTTCTTTTCCCCAACGGGGGGGCGGCGCCCCCCACCCCCGCCGGCCCCGGGCGCGCGGCTGCCTCAGCCCCGCCTCACGAACTTCCCAACCTACCCGCGAGCGATGCAGCCGCGGCCCTTT